ATCATCTGGGTGCTTCATACGATTGATGGACTGCCGGTCGGTGGGTCAGCTATTTAGTTTGGACCATCTCCATCTCCATCAATGATCGCTCGCAAGATTACTTTACCCTGGACTGCTGGGGGTGCTCCGTACTCCGTAGGGGCCTTGGAAATTATGCGAGCATTTCCTCCTCAACCCATTGGACACATTCTGTCTCATTTCTTAGAGTTTGCTCGAGTTCGTCGTCTATTTTGGCAGGCTCAATAGACTGGAATCATTGGATTATTGATTCCTCTTGACCGTTACGACTAGACTACCGGGTACCTTATCCAACAATCAGCAAACGGCCACATACTGCGCAACTGAGTGTAGTCTTACAGAGTATTATCACACTCCAGGTAGTATGCAGAGGTACTGTCGAAGGTTGTATGAGTTGGCCAGGTTGGTCTAGAGTCTAGACTCGAACATCGAGATCAGCTTCTGCAGACAATCCGACAAAGGAAGTACCCCATCAATGAAGAAAAGGACTCAATCTGATTGTTGTGATTCGTCTTGCTCAAGGGGAAATGAGTTCCGGGGTAACAATCTCCCTCAACCTAGAAACATGCGCAGGCGACGAGGCGACCCCTCTTCTCGTGTCTGACAACTCTGTCCAGCTCGAGTCAAGCCAGTCCACTAGGTTGAGACGGTCCTCAGCTTCTCATACCTACTTGGGTAAAAGGTAAGGTAGCTACCGACTCCGTAGTATGCACTCGGAACACTACTTACCGTGCCTCCTATTACCACCGATAGTAAAGTAGTACATGCATTCTTGCATACATACATACATACATACACACACACATACTAAAAATTAGAGAAGAGACGCTCGTCCACTGCATAGGCTAGGCTTTGGGGGGTTCTTGGTCGGATCCATGGATACAAGCATTTGCGCCATCCAGACTCCTCTTCCGACTTGCACCAAGATTCAGCTAGGCCCTTGGTGGTCCTCGACGGGGAAGGATCCAAACTCTCCCATACCCCGGAAACCCATGGCTCCTCGCTCCAGACTCGCTGTGTCCGTGTTGACAGCTGCCTACCATACCATACCATACTACCAGGCGATGCCTTCTTGGGCCCAAAGTTTAACTGTCGCTTCTCTTGGGATTCTTCCCTCTTCCTCTCCTCTCCTCTCCTCTCCTCGCCTCGCCTCTCCATACTTATTCTTCTACTTCGCCTCCTCTCTCATTTTTCTTCTTTCTAATATTCTACTCCTTTTCCCCTTGAACAGAAGGCAAGTCCTGCGTATATAGCTTGCCGTTGATGGTATATATCTGTGTCTAAAATACCCATTCTTTACTCTTTACTCTTTACCACCCACAAGCCTCCTTCACAATGACGTCTCCAGATTTGGATCTGGATGTCGTCCCCATCCCTCGTTCGCGAGAGGAAAACCAAGAAAGGTAATTCTTGTTCTGATCTCATCTCCTACCTGAAACCGAGTCAGGACTGACTTCCAGTAGAGCCTTCATCGCTGCCTCCAGACGCAAAGATCGAAGCTTAGATGCTCGTCTGGAATCAGCCAACCGGGCCTCGATGCTGCACAAGAAGCGCACAGGCAAAGCCCTTCACATTACAAAAGAAATCGTCGAACGCGAGGCCATGTACGAGGAAGTTGACGAGCGCTACCAGGAGAAGCGGATCCGTATGCTTCAAGCGCAGAACCTGCACATCGAGGAGCAGCTGAACCGACAACTACTGGCGGCGCTGGCCGTCCGAAGCAACGGCATTCAACAACGCCGTGCTGCCAACGCACCTCAAGGTCCGGTGAATGGCGTGCGCAAGATGAGCCTGGATCTATCCAGCCTCCGTTCTTCTTTCTCTGAGAGTACGCCGACAGGGGCCATGACCAGTCCGATGGTAATAGATCACAACTACATGCCGCCCCCTTCGTATAACGTGAGCCCACAGTCATCCTGTATGACGCCCGAGGCGTCGTATCCAGAGATGGTCCCCGCCTCCTCGTCGGCTCAGATTCCACCCTACCTTGCCAATGCCGCTCAACACGCGCCACCATCACCCCAACAGGCTGCGGCCCCCCAGCAATTTCGCCCGTTTTGGGCAGGCTTCCAACCACAACAATATCCAGAGCATCTGCAACAGCATCCCCAATTCTGGAATGGGACCCCGACACGGCAGTTCAGAGACCGACTGGCTTCGGCTCCCGAGATTCCTGTGCACGGTCTGCCGTCCGCTGTGCCTGCTTCTTTGTCGTCCTCTGACGCCACTTACGGACGGGTATCGAATCACACACGAGTCCGGTCCGAGCCCGACCAGCCGTTCATGGCTCAAACACGATTTTCCGCTTCAGGGTCGAGTTCGCCCAAGATGGAGATGGTCTCCACCAGAACCCTGTCCACGCCCGATCTGTGCCCAACGCCGGGGACGCCCCACTCGCCCACTTCAATGGTCCATGAAGCAGGGCACCTGGAGCTCGAGGCAGCGACCAAGGAGGGTGAGGTTGTCTTCTCTGCGCCCCAGGAACTCGATCCTGACTACGATGAGTTCAGCCGCTTCGCTTGGGGATTGGGCAACGATGCACCGATCCAGGAGCGGGAGACCTTTGGGTTTGACGACTACGTTGCATTGGACGAATTCACGGCGACCGCTTGAACCACCTCTGTATTTTTTTTTTTTTTTTTTTCTAGATTGCTCCTGTACTATGGTTTCTCTTGTTCCTCGGTTCTTTACTTGGCTACTGCACGAAATTTATGGTGACGGTCGGGAAGATCAAATACCCAGGTCATGGCGTTTTCAACTGTCCTGTACATTGGCTATGAGAAATGACATTCTATCATATTGAAAATACTGTACAGCAGAAAAACTCTGCACAGGAGCAGACGTAACCTTGTCACGTCAAACATACGAAATTGGGCGCGATTAATCAGAAGACACCGCAAACAGTAAACGCGCAGGGTATGCAACCTTAAGATAAGGGACCCCGCAATAGAGTTTAAAGTGAGCGCTTGTGTTTCAGCTGTAGTACATAGCACTATGCAAGTGGACATTATAATAGGCAAGGAGATTCACAGTAGGTAAAAAATACCTCACCTCAAGCAACAAGAGTAGCACTCCCGCACAGACGATTTCAGTCTTTTGAACCATGTGACAGTCCAGTACCTAGAATGATCTGATTCTGAACCTTCTTCTGTTCGGAAGGAACTTAAAAGCTCTGAGTCTACAGAGTAAAGACAGAGTTGACTGCAGTTTGTAGACTCAGTACTAGGGCAAGCACTAACTTCAGTAGGAGAGTGGGTTCGGTGCAGCGGGGCCGAAAACGGAAATAAACTTTGGGGGCTGCACGGTGGTGGAATGCCGCTCCTGATTTGGAATAGTGGGATCGTAAGGCTCCAGTCCTCAGTCCTCACTCTGGAATATGGAGTCACTCCTCAGTACCCTTGCAACTTGCAACTTGACCTGCAACTGCGCTTAAGGTTAGGTGCATATGCATATGATCTGCATATGCAGACTATTAAATGAGTCCACACGTGGATAGATATCAACATCTATATCCTCAGTCAACTAAGTATTTCAAATTTGTCAGTTGCAAGGCGCAACGCAACTATGGTACAGTACAAAGTAAGTTGGACCGCCCCACTAGAGCTTACGCACTGACCACAATCTGGCACTGTTTTCGGCTATCATTGGAGACTGGAGTAGATGCCTGACTAATGCCTTATTCTTGACTTCCAATAGACAACCACCGCGCTCAGAAATTACTCAAAAGTTACCCTAGGTACTAAGTATGGCCAAGGGTTGACTAAATATGAGACTAGGTTACGTTTGCTCTCCTTTCCAGTAATACGCCCGCGTCGGTTACTTGGAGGGGTTAGCCCTGGGCTCGGTCATAACTCCTCCTTACTCAAAAGGGAAATTCCTCGATAGTATAGCCTCGTATCACAGACAAAGTTAGGTATAGTGAGTGGGCCAGGCACCTGCTCTCCATCAGCTTCACTGGTAAGGATTTCAAATCAGCGTTGATCTCCTCGCGTCCACACTTCACAGCAACCTAGAGTAAACTCTCGTAAGTCTTAACTCAGGCCCAGATCCAATCAGTGCGCGAGTCCGTAGACAGACGAGCTGCAGAGTTCAGAGTTCAGTCAGCATTAGGCGTTGCCCAAACTTTCTTCAGCTTGAGTTGGCCCAGTAACGCACAATACTCCGACGGCCTAACTTTCATCTCTGACCAATGCCTTGATTGGGAGATATCGGCCTTGCACTCGTTGGCTAAGCAGCAAGGACCAGGACCAATACGAAGATGAAATCCAGAATGATTCGACCCGTCGAATCCACACCACCACGGCCATCGTCGGCGGTCACTCACCAGTTGCCTGTTGCCTGTTGCCACCCTCAGCTACCTTAGTCTAGGTACGGGTGCAGTGCAAGGTACACTACCAACTGGCTCGGTTAGGCAAGAGCATCAGCACGGAGGTACTCCGACTCTAAGCCAAGTCCATGCTTATCATATCATATTATTGGGGCCGTTGGCCAGAGCCGCCAGACTGCGCCTCAGGCTATCGATATCATCAGACTACGAGACTGCCAGAGGTGAGCGTGCTCGCAGCAGGGACAATGGTTGGTTGGGCGACCGCACAGACGTCCATATATTAGGGCCGGGCTGGTCAGTTCCGGGGTGGAGGGGCAGTTGAGCAGATCGTGGGACCAATGGGTGAGGAGGCTGCGCGCCACTGGGTGTGTAAGATTGTGGTAAACTAAGGTAGGTAGTAGTGTTCCCCGTACGCCAACAGAGAGTTAAAGTTTGAAAAGCAGCTGTTCAGTGTCCAATCGGAAGGCGCTAATTCAAGTCAACCCCGTTGGACGTTCTCAAAGTCTGGTCCTTAAATCATCTCTGATTCGTGAAACCAATGCTATCATAGCCTGCTATCGCCTGTCTAAACAATATCCCTGACTAGCTGATAAGGACAGTGGGAATGAACAAGGAAATGAGTACCGCATCAAATACCAGGGGTACAACCAACAGACTATTCCCGCCGGCTAAACAGCTCGCGTCCGATATCCCCGCTTTTGCGCACACTAACGCTCGAGCTGCTGCTCCGTCGCCGGCGACTGCGGCTCTCTGCAGGATCAGCAGGGCTCAATCCGCTAGCCCGCGCGTGCAGGTTCAGAATATCTGTCAAGCTCACCACCCCCGCGAGGCGACCGGACAGTCGGGCGCCCGGCAATGTAGACGCGGGTATCGACGGCGCCACTGCGTGGGGCATTCCCACCGACGCAGCGGGATGCGTGAGTGATGCCGCATTCATGTATGGCTGAGGCGGACTAGGAAGATGAGGAGTGCTGTAGTTGGGAGCTGGTAGGTTGGTTGTGGATGCGGGAGGTGACACCGGCGGTGACTGCGCATGGTTGGTGCTCGCCGCCAACGGAAGCTGAACGCTCGAGTGAGACGGTGTAGGTGGCCCCGACGACGAGGGTGATAGGGGATCAGTGACCCATAATCTACATTATCCTCGGTTAACTGCAGGCCCTATAGCTTGAGCTTAGCAATACAGCACTCACCGATGAGATTTGGTGGCCACCATTTTGGCTACCGTGTGCGCCAGAGTCGAGCCAGGGTTCACATAGAACACAGGAAACGAGTCTTTACCCTCCAGGAGGCCTCTTGCGGATAGGATCACGGAGATGAAATGAATGCACGTGTTGTGGAGAAGAGGCAACGATGACGATCTCGTCAGGAGCTATTCAACGTTTCTTTTAGCCAGTTGAGGATTTGCTTGGAAAATCAATTGCATTACCTTGACATCCGTCGTAGAGATGTTGCCCACCACGTTGGAATGGTTATCTACCACAGCAATGGACGAGATCCCTTCGCTGTTCATGATTTGCAGGGCTTCGCAAAGCTGCTTGTCACCACTAATCGCTGTCAGAGATGCTTACTGACGCAAAGCTGACGCAAAGAAACACTCACTTGATGGAGATCACCTCGCGAGACCCGATGCCCAAATCACGCAGGTACTGAGGGTACAACTGATCGATGACGGGAAAGCTGCGACCATTCTCCCATAGAAACTTGACAAGTCGGAATTGACTGACGATTCCCACCACTTCGCCGTCCTTGCGTTCATCCACCACGACCACACGGTGAACCCCGCCGCCAAACGTCTCGACAGCCCTCGTCAAGTTGGCCGATGCGGGGAGTGTGGTCAGTGGCTCACTCCGGCTCAGCTCCTTCACGTCTTTCAATGGTATTTTGTCCCCGTCTCTGGCCTTCCTTGCCAGTTCTTCATACGATTCGCGAAGTTCTTCATTAGGCTGCGTCAGTCCCGCCGCAAGTAGAAGGTATGCATTCAGATCCGAGTAATCGAAAGTGCCCACGGCCGTTTTGTGTTCCGGGGTCTCTCGAATCAACAGCACTGGGGCGCTGGAATCGATCAGTGTCTGTAGGTATTCAGACATTAGCCAACCATAGACAAGATTTAAAATGCAAGACCACGCAATTACATTCGTTGCTTCCTCAATTCCAGTGTCCAACTCGACAAACATCAAATCATCCGGCCTGACAAGCTCCCCAATCGAGATTTCTCTCCAATCTCGGCCAGCAAATGCGGGGTTCACATCCTTAGGAGCTGGAGGGTTATCGATCAGACTCTGAATCGCTGCCTGGGTGAAGGACGGCTGTCGGCGTGTGCGCGGAGAACCGGGTGCAGCGCGGAGACTCTCGCTGAAGCTCTGGCGATGCTGATGATTCGAGTGATTGAGTCGAAGGGATTGGCTACGCGTTGATGGAGAGCGTGAATCGGTACTAGATCGCGGCGATGCAACAGCTGACCCATTGGAATGGTCTGCCACCGCTTCAAGATTCTGATGGTCCGCCATGGCTGAGCGCGGGGAAGGGGGCTAATCCGCGGGGGAAGCTGACCCTCCCGGAAGGATATAAGCGGAAATGACAAGTTCGGTCTCGGAGAGAGGATCAAAGACAGCTGTCTCACTTATTATTACCTAAAAGAGACGCTCAGGATGCACTTCTGTTTCTCATTTAGCCAACTGAAATGGCTTCACCAGCGAGATCGCTGTGGACAAGCACCTCAGCGCCCTTGAGGCTGTGCCAATCACGGGGCGGTGCGGGGGAATCAGCGGTGTTTGGCTCGGCATCGGCAACTGACCAATCAGCCGTAGGTATTGGTGTCATTGCGGCGTCATTACCATACCTGAAATTTACCTTATCAAACGATGCAGATCATGCAACTCGTGCCTGTACGCCTAAGGCAATCCTGAGCCTGACCCGCGATTCACAGAGAGAAAGACCAGGCCGTAGAGTGTCAGAGCGGTTGTCGAATAATTCCATCTGCTGCCATTTCAGGCACCTTGCATTCCTGTGAAATTAAAGAAACTAAAGAAAGTCACCTAGGACATCACGGAGATCTCTCGGGTTTCCCTTTCTCATCACTGGCTTTCTGGATCCAGAGCTCGGCCGTGACGTCTCTTCTGGCGATTGGTCTGCCATCTTCACCTTCTTTAGTGGTGGGTCTGGAGGTCTAGACCCAGAGGCGGTTCTGCGCTGGAAGTATATCGTAGAAGAACTGCTGCCTCTTTTGCCCAGACCCTGACTGCCTTCTGGTACGATTCGAAAGTCCAAAACAGGGCTGCCTCGTAGTAGGCCCTCTTCTATCACGTGTCCATCACTGCTGGCATGAAAGCTCTTCTGATAGCATTCATAGAGTGTAAGAGGCTCTGATACTTCTATTTGGTTGGAATTTTTGACCACAAACTGTGGGATTGCTGTCACCTCCCACCGATCTTTGTCCAGGCTTTCGCCTTGGAGGCAGGATTTGAGATTGGGGCACCCATGGGCGATTATAAGACACAAGCCTGGAAGAGCACTGAGGTACCGTATCCCCACCGGTGAGAGGTCTGGCTGACTATACAATCTGAGGACGCGAAGGTGGGTAAATGCTGCTGACGTCTCCGCCAGCTCACTCCACGTTCGTGCGATTCGATCGTTCAGACCAGCCACACGTAGCTCCGAGCTGTCTGACATCGGCATTACCTGCAGTGGTGTGGCGATCTCCAGCGCAACGAGATTCTTGATATTAGCAATCTCCACAAGCTCTGGTACCCGCCCAAACGAGGGAGCCAGGGTCAAGACCAAGCGCCAGCTGAGAGAATCGCTCTTGACTACGCTCCAGTATTCTCGCAATGGCATCTGGGGCCACTTCACTTTCATGGATCGGTATTTTGCAACACTCCGAAATTCGGCGGGGTACACTGTTGCAAATAATTTCCACATGTACAAGGTCCTTCTCTGGCTGAAGACCGTTGCATTGGACTCAGCATTGTTTACGGCACAGCATATCTCAGGGAGGACTGCACCAAGTCTTCACTCACCGTTTGCCAAGGTGATCCCACAGTCTGCTTGCCATACGCCATGGAATATGATGAAACAACTCGGGCGTCAAATCCCTCTGATCAGCCAGAAGCTGCTCCATTGCACACTCTTTCAAAGAGGGTGCGCCCTTCTCGTGTCTTGCGTCTCGCTCCACGATGCTGAATGGGCTCTCATGAACCCAAGATGGGCCCATAGAGAATGACATAGCAGGAGCCATAGCCTGTTCTTCGTAGACCTGGCCGCTTTCCCGGTCCAGCTTTCGGACAGACATGGTAAAGTCACCAATACTTTTGACCATGTCAAACTGAGTTGCAAAATATAGTATAGCTGGACAATAGGATTCTTTCAATTCACTGCAATGGACTGCCCTGCTGCTGATGCTGAACGGCCCCTACCAGCCTGTAAGCCATTGAAGTCAAGTTTCGGCCATCTCTGCTTGAGTACCTTTTTTAAGCTGTACCTTCAATAACATTACTAGCAGCAGCTCAGACACTCAATCTGAATTTGTTAGAGGTATATTATGGTGAAGAACATGACTAGGCCTTCAGACGCGAACAGGGATGAGTTAAGTAACCATTCAGCCCTGTGATTCACGTGATCTACCATCACAGTGGAATTTCGTCCCTTTATTCTGATGATAAAAGATAGTCGGCTGCTAAATCTATGCAGATGTTTCCAATTTTTGGTTATCTGATATATATGGACATTAACCGAGAATGATGGACTAGAAGAGAAGTAATGGAAATCCTTGATCTGATCCCAGCCCAAATCAAGTTATGTGCACAGATGGGCTATCAGCCCTGGAGCATTCGACAAGGTCGCCAATCCATCTTGACCGCTAATGTTGACAGCAGCATGAAAGCACAATATAATTGTGGTTGTTTATTCGTCTTTCGCTCAGGATCCGCCCATACACGCGTTGAGAGATGTCCGGTCTTTCGATCCTGTTCTGTATTTCATGCTCAACAGACCGCAACCAGCCACTCGAGTCAATGAAAAAGGTAGACCGACTCAGATTGCCGGTAAGTCGACGGAGGTTCCTTAGACAATCGGTACGGACAGATAAGCGGTATTTGGTGGTCGCCGATGAGACATGGTGGACGGCAATGCCTCTCTCCAGCAGTGACCATGGACAGAATGACAACGCGCACAAGAAACAAGTCGATGAGTTTCGCACGAGTGGGTGAATGAATGGTCGGATGTTCGGTATATGAAAGGATTGGCTGAGGCATAGCTTGGGAGCTCGCGCGTGTTATCATACTTTGATGTGTACCTCTTTGAAGTACAACGCGGCTGAGGAGTCCTGGTATAAGGCATCTCTCTAACGGTGAGCTGCATGGTGTGATGGTTCGGAAGTCAAGTCACAGTATGGATCTCGAAACTGTGCAGCTAGAATATCAGCATCGAGCAAGCGGTTATTTATAAGGCTAGGGATCCCCATATTGAAGACCATCAGATAGGACTCGAGCGCTTTGGTCAATATAAGGGATGCCAATGTCATCATCAGATGGCACCAGGGCGTTTTGTCTCTGGTTGAAAAGAAACATATGCAAGGGCAAATATCCTCGTGGGAATTTCGTCTTGTTTCGCATCATCAGTGAAGCTGAGTCTTAGATTCCCTGAAACCCGAAGCAAAGTGAGAGATCTGATCGTCGGTCAAATTGAGAGAAGCAAGGGCACATCTAAACCCAGTAGAGCTGAGGCCATCATAAGAGAGGGGAAATGTGAAAGGAATAGCGATAATTTACTAGGAAGGGGCAAATTCAAGGGTTGATGCTGAACAGAAATGCCCCCTTGTCTCCTTTGCAGCCGATTATTGTTGTTGATCTCTCTTCTTACCACCACCGCATCGCTGCACATTATCAAATAACCTTGACCTGGTCAAGGTTTCAGAATTTCTGACTGATAGTGGGAGTAGATCTGTTGTCTCAAATCAGGCGTCCTTCAATGTGATGAAAGACACAGTGACTCAACTCGATGAGTGCTCTCAGGCCAGCGAGGACTCTTTAATTGCCACCGTGTGCCATAGTCAACTTGGAAGCTGTGTCACTCTCACAGTTATTCTCTTGTCTTTTTCTTCCCTTTTCTTTTCTTAGCAGGCACAACGAGGTCATGAAGGAATACTGTGGTCCGTATTCGGTCACTTAAATGGCTATGGATGACGAGCATCGCGTTTACGTGTTTCGATCTGCCCTAGCCTTCTGTTGCGTTTCACTAGAAGCTCTGATTTGATGGTGATCCGATGATTGAGTCAATCATCGAGGTCAGGCGCGGAGAAGAGACGGCTGATACTGGTTGGTCACAAGCATCACCAGGCTGACATCGTGTGCCCCTGACGCCAAGAGCTCTTCACGGACGTCGATCAAAATCGATGGTTACCACAGACGGATAGTCAACCATCTCGTCTTGCTCCTCTGACCAGTCAAACGATGGGAACTCTTGTGATCATTGCCACATGTGCTTCCAGAAAGTCATTATCAGTGACTTGGTGTTCAATACGATGGGGTGTGTTCAAAGATCAGGAGGACTAAGTCCCCAAATGATATATAACACAAAGTCGCCAGCCGAGTTCAGAGAAAGCCTTATGACTCTTTGTGTTTCTTATGAGGCTGTGTGGTAATTGTGAGCCATTCATCCTCTATATAAATCCATCTCTTGGGGATCCCGTTTCGTTTCTGTCAGAGTACCTTTTCCCTCGAGGCTGTAGCTGTCGGAAGTTGATCGAAGCAGAGCGCCGCAACGATGAGTTCTGCTACAGCACGGGAGAGATCCCTGATCGTCAAAAGTCGAGAACCTAAACCTCGCTCTAAGACCAAGAGGAAGTTCAAGATGCTGAAATTTATCAGCTCTGTCCTCTGGAAGCAGGCTTCATTACAGATAGCAAATGCTCGCCAGCATACAGTGTGGCTGTTTGATAATACAGCCTATCAGCGTGTCACTCCCAAAGCCCTTGGGCAAGGGCGTCCGGCATGGCGTGTTGAAGTTGTCGCCTGCGTGTTTGAAAAGGACAGCCGGAAAGATATCAGCAAGTTTGTCGCAACGATAGCGGATCTCATTGGTCTCGACGGGGAGATAGGCAGTGATCGAGAGACCCGTCATCAAATAACCCGTCGACTGCGGCCATTCTTGTACCACACAGCACCTGCACATACAATGGTCATCGAGATCCCGCTGTCAGACGACTCCATACAGCTCCATCAGATTGGTCCCACGGACAGCAACGGTATTTGCAGCCAGACCGTGAATTTGGGTTCGCTCCATCTTGCAGACGGCACCAGGACACGGTCGTACCTTCGGGGCTGGGAGGGCGAAGTGTCCATGGACACGCTCTTCGCTGGTCCGGAAGGTTGGCTTCTGATTTCCGACATAGATGACACTATCAAATATACAATGACTTCCGAACCCACTGGGATCTTACGGACTACTTTTGTCGAGACAGCGCGTCCCATCAGAGGAATGCCTCAATTCTACTTCCACACACAAAGACAACTAGTACCAACATGGTTCTATCTATCAGCATCACCATACAATCTATATCCTTTTCTCCGCGAGTTCATCCACACCTGGTTCAATCCAGGCACACTGATGCTTCGGGAGTCTTCCTGGATGGATGTCGGCTCGTTGATTCGATCCTTTACTACATACACCATGGAGTATAAAGTGAACAACATGGAGAAGTTGTACCAATCTTTTCCGAAGAGACAAGTACTCTGCATTGGTGACTCTACGCAGACAGATCCAGAGGCTTATGCAGAAATCTACAGACGGCACCCGACCTGGGTGAAGGCGATTCTGATCCGCAAGGTCACAGATGTCCCACACTTGGAAGGGAAGAATTCTCCAGAACGATTCAGGACTGCTTTCAAAGGGGTTCCGGAAAGTGTATGGACAGTATTTGAAGAGCCCGAAGAAGTGTATCATGTTGTGGACCGACTTTCTCAGTCGATCCTATAGGTTGCTCGCGGTAGAGAAGGAACAACTGCGCGATTGGTGCACCAGAACCCATCCACAATATTGTGTGCAGAATCCATGGCTAATGCTCAGGCTCTTCTGTCACCCTAGTAGAGAGGTATGGCAAAAAATTATCCATAATTGCTGGTAGAGTTGCTGATATAAGCACAGTTACGTCAACATGAGGCATCCGCATCATCGAAGTCTATACAGTCCCGATGCAGTCTCGCTTTGCAGCGCGACCAGCACATTATTGTTTCTGGTTATCAAAAAGTCAAATTTTCTGCTGTAAACCATCGCCCTTCGCAGGGCGTTTGTTTCCGGAAGTGAATTTAGAATTTCGCAGAGCTGCCTGTGTTGCATATCCCCTGTGAAACTCCAACACCTACAACTTCCTCGCACGCTCATTGACCTAGAGGATCTTTTTAATACCGTCAAGAGATACAATAAATGAATGGTTTATTTTGAACTCAACGGAACCCTTGCCTAAATACTGAATACCTTTTCACAATGAAGCCAGCAAAACCAGCGCAAGCTAATATGGATGAACAAACATTCGTCCCGAGTACGATGAGGGCCCTTTACTACGGCCTGAGCGACAACCACAGCCACGACGTAACAGCTGTGGGTTGCCCCGAGCCAGGCCTGATCTTCGATACCGACTTTCCCACACCCATACCGTCACCGAGCCAATATCTCATCAAGGTCCAAACGGCCGCCTTCTCGCATGACGAGCTGCGACTCGCGAAGGTGCTCAACCCGAGAACATCCATCCCCAAGATTCCCCTCCACAACTTCTGCGGCACAGTCATCAGCACCCCCGATGAAGATCACTGGCACCCATCCGGCCCCAAGTTCAAAGTCGAGGACGCCGTATTCGGTCTGATCAGTCACAGCAGGGACGGCGCCGCAGCCGACTACGTCCTCGCAACGGAAGACGAGCTCGCATTCAAGCCCAGGAACATCAGCGCCGCAGAGGCAGCAACGATCCCCTTACCCGCCGTCACCGCATGGCAAGCCCTCTTCACCTACGGCAAACTGGATCCCGCCGACACGAACCATGTGCGTGGTGGCCTGCGCGTGCTCGTCACAAACGCCCGCAACAGCGAGGCCGGCATCCAGGCCCTTCAGCTGCTGCGGGCCCTGACCTTGTTCCCGCACTATCGCCCCTGGATCTGCGCAACCTGCGACAACGAAGAACAGGGGGCAACCCTCCGCGACCAATTCCAGGTGGACCAGTACATTGTCGCCGCCCTCCCGTTGCCAGCCGAGTGGGACCTCGCCACAACGTTCAAGCAGAAGCAGTGGGAGCCCGTGGATATCGTCATCGACTGCGCGGGCGAAGAGATGTTCCAGCAAGCCCACTCGCCAGCGGTTGTCAAGGAAGATGGCGCCGTCTTGACCGCCGTCGACTCCACGCCGGCTCAGAACGGGCGGACCGAGGAAGATACGCAGACCGGTAACGGCTCGAAGAAGAAAGGCCCCTTGAGCAGATTTATCTCTGTACAACCAAATGGGAAGGCGCTCGCGCACATCGCGACATTAGTTGAGGAACATAGCGTCCGCGGACGGATAGAGAGCATCACGGATCTGGTCAACGGGGCAGATATACTAGCTGCGGGCGCTGCTGGCGCGGGCGGAGGGAGGCGAGGAGGCATGATGGTGATCCGGGTCAACCCATAGATGATGTATAGTCATTGCATATTCGGGCCGGGGGGTTTTGGTTTTGTTTTTCGTTTCATAGCAATCAGTATGCTGTCATTTGACTGGGGTCAGTATACAGGGTATGGACACAATTTGCATTGGAGCGTACGAGCACGCCCTTTTAATTTGAGACTCATATTTCAGGTACTATAATGCAACTTGCGTCAATCTATGACACCTAGCTGAACAAGAAGGGTACTCGGTACTCGACAATGATCGGAAGACTTGGAATCGAAAATGGTAGTTTCAAGATAAACACACATTCTGAAGTAAAGTAGGTAAAGTAGGTCCTCATCGACTTGCCTGAGAGAAGGGTTCACAAGGCGACGAAGCATGCAAAAGCCGAGAGATAATGGACATGCGCACTCCCAGCTGTTTCCATTTGTTGAGTCCTGAGCGCTGGAGCGCGTTGATCCTCCAGCGATCCCACCGCCAACACAGGCCCAGTGCTATCGATAGGCCGCGCATTGTCCATAGGATTCAGTTGTGTATGGTCATGCTCCGTCCTGCCGCCGCAAGACAGCCCCTGCCCGCCTCTCTCCCGAGGGAGACGCGAACAGAAAAAGAAGAAACAGGTACAAGAAGCCCTGGAGAGATGAAAAGTTTTGGTATTCGAACAACCCGACGGATAATCATTCAAGGAAGCAAAAATAAATACGGTTTCCGTCCAGGCTCAACCCGCGTGCTTAAAAAAGAAGAAAAATACATGAGATCGATCCATAAGTCTCTCTGCGTGCTATGTTCTGTGAGAAACCGATAGAAGATGTGAATGGGAAAGACAGAAGCAAAGACAGAAAATTAGATTGATAGCGGTTGAAGACCTGCATACCGGTATAACAAAAATAGCAGGACAGTTCCTGCTACAGTAAGGAATCAAGTCTGGTGAAAACGCTCAAACATGCTGCGACAATCTGTAGATGTTTGCACATCAGCTTCTGTAACACCGTAAATAGAGCGACGAAACATACCTCCAACTGAAGTTCTCGATCCTTAGCTTTATTGACCTCGTCGTTGATGGCCTGTGCCAGGTTGGCACCAATCGCCTGTCCACCACCAGGTCTCCGAGCAAACGGCCACTGGGAATATTCTGCCAGCAACTCATCAACCTGCGCAAAAGCCCGCTCTCTCGCCTCGTGGCTCATTGTAACAAGTGCATTCTCCAACACGTTGGCCGCATAGGCCGCGCATACCATGACAACAGTTCGAAGATACCGGAACTCAGCATCTTCAGGGAGCCATTGGTTGGCCGGCAGAATCACGGTGCGACTGCTACAAACGTTGCGGACACGGCGATGAAGATCATCTTTGGCGCCGCCGTCGGCGACTGGGTGTGTGGCCATGTCAAAGAGGAGGAAGTTGCGTTTTTCGGTACGGAGAATGCCTTTGTCGACGAGACCCTTGGCAAGCCGCTCACGAACCTGTTTGAGTTGATACCCAATCTTCATCAAGTTCCATGTTTCACCTAGACAGTCGTATTAGCTGCCCGTCTTCTCTTCCGTATACCTGTCAGAAGTTCAGTGCCGGAGTCTTTGCACGCACCGCTCATCAGGTCAATCCATGAATTCACGCTCATCTTCTCACTCGACTTCATCATCTTCAATGCCTCGTCCAGCAAGACCTCACCCGTCAATGTATCATCGATGACTTCGATTACGCGATCTGCGAGAGGGAACCGTCGCCGGGAGGAGTCCTTTTGCATGCTGATGCGACCGCGGAGAGCCAACTCAATGACAATGCAACCCCGAAGAGCATAGGAAATGTTTTCGTTCCAGAATGAAAGGTATCCCTAACAGAGCGGAGAATCGCAAGCTCCATGTCAGCATTGCCTCGTCAATGCGCACAAGCGGCTCATGGCGCTCGTGGCAATGTTTTCAATCCAGCACTGACCTGTTTATCCTTCAACCCCAGCAGCAGCACTTCCTCCATCAGGGTCAGTTTGGGCTGCTTGCCTCGCTCTTCGGTCTCGCTCAGATCCCGGGGATCGAAAGCGATCTTGTGGCCATTCTCAGAGCTTGTGAATGAGGCCTCCGGTCCGCGGTGGTCAAGTGCGGAACCGTTTCTAGATACCGGGGAGGACACTCTGCTATCATCGTTGTCATCTCCGCCAGCGACTCGACCGCCACCTCTCCGGCGAGTCAAGCCCCCGGCTGAGGCCATGAGGATGTCGGAATGTAGGACGGTGGACTGAAAGCGGGGAACTGGTTGAGCAGGTGGTGACGATGGGGACTCGACCGTGGGGTGTATATCGTGATGCTTCTAGGTTGGATTTGGAGCAGAACAGAAACTAAAGACAGACCAAGAAGAGGAGTTTGGCGATTATCTCACTGATTCCCTGGGTGGAAATTAATTGTCAGGGGTGGTGGAGCGCAGAGCACAAGGACGAGTGACAGATAAAAGAGACCACGGAAGACAAGAGGAGAAAATCACAGGGAAGAGCCAGAGGATGGCTAGGAGGTATACCACAGTGACAGAAATCAATCTCCTGTGTAGATACTCAAGAAAGCAGAGAATTGAAGTTCCTCTGCCTAATGATAATTCCAAAGATCATGGTCGTCTCAAATAACATTCTTTAACCTTTCTTACTAACTCCTGCTGGTTTGTTAGCGCTTCGCTGGTTACGGATCAGAGCCGCACCATGATACATCTGATCTTGAACATCAACAATAATATAACTGGCAAGATTTCAATTGACTTATAATAATTAGCTGTGCAAACCCAGTTAATCCTTGGACTCAGAATTTAACCGAGTCTTAAGCAACGAGTTGACCCCACGAAATGCAGTACCATACATACTACTCCATACCTACAGACACCATGCACCCTCTTCCTAACAGGTACACGTCATTCGATTAGTGGGACGGACAGATAGAAATGATGAATTCAACGGAGTACTCTAGCCTTGACGATGTATGAAGGAAACGGTCATCTTCTCAAACATGTCTCTTATCTACGGACAGTAGTAGACTGGTCAAAAATAGCATTCAAATGTGATATACACGATATAGTAGGGCGAAAAAGCACCGGCATGTATCAGCATACAAAGCAGCATCCATGATGGCCAGGGGACCTCCAACTCTAGGATTTTGTGGCAGATGCACGCTCACATCCCTTTTCTTTTTCTATCAGACCCTCCAACCTATTCCCGAATCGCAGTATTAAGTGTTTAGTGGGCTAAAACACGTTAGTGTCAATCTCCGGGATACCTTGTTCTCGCACGAGATAAACTTACCATCAGGCTGGGCAAGGATGTACTCAACAGCCTTGTCAACTGTTCAAAGAAATAAGTTGATGAACTTTGATAAGCGATCTGCTAGGCACTGTCCGAGTGTACTTACCACTGTGGATAGCGTCGGCCTCCTTGTCGGGGATCTCAATGCTGAACTCCTGTTGACAGACTCGTTAATATAATGATCTTCCGGAAAATCGCTCGCTAAACCATACCTCCTCAATAGCCATCACAACCTCAACAGTATCCAGACTATCCAGACCGAGGTCGTTCGAGAAGTGGGAAGAACCGTTGATCTGTTCACGTTAGACTTCGTCCATATGACCAATCTTTGCTCCCTTCAAAGTTTAAAGATCGAAGGGGTAGCCGGCTCATAGCATCAGCCGGTATAAACAGTGACCACGAACCTTGCTGGCATCGGAAACCTATAGACCATCAATCGCGTCAGTGATTCTGTACTCGAACACCAATTTTGGTAATGTATTTTGCTGTCCAGTTCGATGGACCACTGAGAGCGAGAGAAAGAAGTTGAATGAACGAACCTTGTCAAAGTTCTTCAAGAGGTTGACTATCCGGCCCTCGACCTCCTCCTTGTTCAGACCGGCGGGGGCGGAGTAGAGGCGGACACCCTGGTAAGCAAAGCGAGGGGCGAATTGAACAGGACGAGCAACAGGAGAGCTACGGATCTGGAAGGCAGCAGGAGTCCTGACAGCACGGGGAACGGAGGCTCTCAACGAGCGGACGACAGCGGAACGGAACATGGTGACTGTGTTAAGGGTGGTTGGAAGAGGCAAATTGCCTGACGAAGTAAGACCCGACTAAGGGATAGATTATGCAAACAAGAGAATATAGAACAAGAAATGGAGGAGACGGGTGCGTCAGGGAGAATTGATAGATACCCAGGGAACTTGATTGACACAAGAGATGGAGGTTTCCATCTTTTGCTTTGCGCTTGCGGCTCAGGAAGCAAAATCCTGCCGGCGGCCAATCAGCGGGCGGCAGAAAGGAATGACCTAAGCACTGCCGTTGCTAACTTGCTCCAAACCAGCAAAAGACCGTCGGAACCTCATATCTTGCTGGCATTGAACCCTCTCCACCCCTCAACCGGGCCATCGCTCTCCTCGTCTGCTCGTCGTCTTCTCTCCTCTCTATTCCGCTTCTCTACAACAGTCGCAATGGCCTCCTCGACATCTGTTGCGAGGCTGGTCGCCTACCGTCGGCCTACGCCCTACCTGTTCGCCTCGTCTCTCCGTCTTTCGCCCTTGGGTTCAACCGCAAACTTCTCCTCGTCGGTGTCAAGAGCTGCTACACCAGTCGGTCCTCCTCAGCCTGGATTCCGTTTACCTGCGCCGAGGAAATGGGATCAGGATCCCGAGTCTTCGCTAGACAAGGCCAGCAAGTACTTCCTTATGGCTGAATTGTTCCGGGGCATGTACGTGGTGCTGGAGCAGTTTTTCAGACCACCGTAGGTTTTCCTGGCCCATTTTCGCATCTTCAAATTTTGTACAGTCTCAGAACCGTTTTTGCACAATTCTGGCTGTACATCATGGTTCGTTTTTGAGCATTTCGGGGAATCATGAGGCTAAGACCAATCTCTAAATTATAGTTACACTATCTTCTACCCCTTCGAGAAGGGTCCCATCTCCCCCCGTTTCCGTGGCGAACATGCTCTGCGCCGCTATCCCACTGGTGAGGAGCGCTGCATCGCTTGCAAGCTCTGTGAGGCCATTTGCCCCGCTCAGGCCATCACCATCGAGGCCGAGGAACGTGAGGACGGAAGCCGTCGGACAACCAGATATGACATTGATATGACCAAGTGCATCTACTGTGGTTACTGCCAGGAGAGTTGCCCCGTTGATGCGATTGTCGAGAGTAAGTTGATCCGACAGGTTGATTAGTGTGACCCCACAGCTGACATGATACGCGCAGCTTCCAATGCGGAATACGCCACTGAGACCCGAGAAGAGTTACTGTACAACAAGGAGAAGCTTCTGGCCAACGGTGACAAGTGGGAGCCAGAGATTGCCGCAGCTGCTAGGGCCGATGCTCCCTATCGGTAGGGCGCTGTCGATTTCTCCTTTTATTCATGAGGACCTTCCCACGCTTGGCTGTTGTACTCTAGCGATCCTTGCCGAGAGATCACAAATCACAAAATTAGAGTGACGGAAAAAAAGAGCTTTTCCTATCCATCAAGATGGCAAAGGTACTGACTCCGTTATGGAAGTCTAGCTTTGCCTCTCCGCCTTGTACATAACGAATCCTCCGCCTGCGTTATCCCGCATATACACCTCAGGCTTAAAGGAGTTTTCGAGTCGCCAAAATCTGGCGTTTCTGCTTTTTTTTTTCTTTGTCGCGATGTCAGGAAATCCTGATTTTTCTTTGTTATTTTTCTACTGTTCTGCTAACGAGTCAATCAAACAATTTACTTTTCATTTGTATCAACATGGTATCTGTCCAGCCTGTGCTGCATGGGGTCTTCTAGTCGTCCTCAACAGCAGTAGTCATCTGAAGGCATTAAATATATATGCTCCACCAGTGTAGGACAATAAATGAAAAGACAAAAAAGCCCTGATATTTGCACGAACAAATCGCTGCCTATGCATACATGCACAACATGAAAAGAGAGCATTTCCCAAAAGACCCCAAACACCAGTTCTCCAGATCCTACACTCAGTTTCCTTCCCTTTTTTGACAGGGTTGACTGTCATAGATACACACAACTGCGGGGCCATCTCCTTTCCTTCATTTCTTTCCACCCACCTTGGCTTTGAAGCTTCCCTCAAACCCAGGTCTGGCCTTCTTCTTGCCTGCGGCAGGTTTCTTGCCCTTGTTGCCCTTCTCCTCGCGTCGTTTGCGGAGGTTCTCCTCGCGCTTCTGCTGACGCGCGTCCTTGCCCTTCTTGACGGCCTCAAGACGCTCCTTCCATTCCCGCTCGGACTTCTTCTTCGCGGACTCCCTGCGCTTCAGCGCCTTCTTGAGGAGCGAGGTGTCATCACGGACGCGTTCCCCGTGCGCCCGCTTCTTGGCATTCAGCCACATGTCCTTCTGTTCGATATCCGCACGCTTCTCCTCGTCCATCCCGGCCAGGCGGGCCTTCTTTGCCTCTGCCGCCTTGAGCGCCGTAGCGGGGTCCTGCGGCCCATGACGCTTTGGCTGTTCCCGTACGTTCATCAGACTGGGGTCGGCCTGCTGGCCGTCGGCAAATACCACCCGGCCGAATGAGTAGTTGACGTTCGAGCCGATTGAGTCTGCGGGGGACCGCGGCGACGCAAGAAGCGAGCCGGAGCCACCGGGGGAGAAGCGCTTGGCCATGGCCTCGTCTTTGGCGCGCTGCTCTTCTTCCTTGGCCTTCTGTCGCAGCAGTCTCTTGTGTGCCTTGCGCTGCTCGGCTTTTTGCCGGCGAGCCTCGATCAGCTCCTGGCGGTTTCGGGCGGGCTTGCCGTCGAAGCCGTCGGCCTGCCGGCGGGCACGCAGCTCGTCCAAGCGCTTCTGTAAGCGCTGTTTTAACTCTTCTGGGGTCGGCTTGAGAGGCTTGGGGTCAGATGATGATTTTTGGGAGGCGTCGTTGGCGTCAGTGGAAGCAGAAGGAGGGGCGATGGAAGATATGGAAGAGCTGCCGGAGTGGTCATTTGAGGCATCAAACCCGGGAGAGTTGGGTGCTGAGGATGGAGAGGATGACTGTTCTGCAGGCTCGGGGTTGAATTCGAGTGAGAGGCCTTCCTCAGGGACAGCACCTTCTTGCTCAATCTCATCATCGCTGTCTTCTACCTTGGAAGGCTGCTTCTCTTCTGCCTTATCGCTCGCAGGCTTCGACTCGGACTTTTCACTTTGTTTCTCTTTCTTGACAGCTTCCTTGGCCTTCTTCTTTTCTTTCTGAGCGGCTTTCTTCTGTGCTTTCTTCTCCTCTCTTAACTTCTTGCGCGCTTCGGCTTCCTCCAATTTGGCCGCCGTATCATCCGATTGCTCTGTAGCGGCCTGCTTCTGCTTTTTCGATTTGACATCGCCTCTCTTTAGGCCTTCCTTGGGAAGTTCAGAGCCCAGCTCTTCTTCCTCGGATGACTCGGACCCATTCTGTTCCTCCTCGTTTCGCTTACGCTTCCGTGCATTGTCGTCCATTACGTCCTTGACCGTTTTGGCAGAATCGGGGTCCAGTTTCGCGCGTTTGGCTTCGCGGGCTTGCTCCTTGGTCTGCTTCTTTCGCTTCCATTGGTCCTATAGAAGGAATTATGGTCAACCAACGGACTGGGAGTATTCAAGCCAAAACGGAGAGAGAAAGAAGCAAGATTTTTTTTTCTCTGGGTGGAGAGTATGGGATTAATCATGATGATCACGTACGCTGCCATCTTCACCATAATAGTACTTCGCAGGAATCAAAGACAGAAGGCCGTTGAAGGCCTGAGCATGGCTTCGCAACCGTTCCTGATAAAAAAGGTTGTCAGTTTCCCAAGCGTCGTGAGCGCGGGGCTTACGAAGCGTCAGGAACCACATACCTCGATATCATCCATCCTGACTTCGATAACCAGACCGCAGACTATCCAATTATAGAAACGAGCGATCTCGTTGCAATATCCGGACGTTGGTTTGTCTTGCTGGTTGTCCAGAATCGGTCGGTCAAACTCGTTAGCGAAAGCTGCGATACCTCGAAAAATTTAGGTGGGTGTTGAAATCTTGGCATTCAGTTTTCTCCGCTCGGCTGGACTGATTGGAATGATTGGTTCACCGCCCGCACAGTAGATTCACTATCCACATTGAGAAGAATGAGGATTATCCATAACTTAAGGACAGTGTTGACATGGGACTTTTAAAGTGGTGGACACTATGTATATGAAAAGACCAGAAGCTATTGTTCTGAGTGATGGGAGATGCTATCTAGTGTTAGTGTGGTTAGTCTATAGCTGCTCCTTTATCGCTCTACGGTTGAATGGAATGATTTGTCTTAGTTAAACTGAATGAGTGACAGGAAAGTGAACATATAAAGGTATGAGGCAAAGAACAGTTTCTCAGAAGGGTGCTTGCGATAGTTGGTGTCATCTATGCCCTGGGCATAAGCCTCTTGCCCATCTAACCACATGTTACCAAGAGGATAACATATGAATATAGAAATGCCAATTACTCCTTCGCTATACCTATATTTATTGAGCCTTGAACAAAAACGCCAATAAAAGGTCTACCGAGACGAAACCTGCCACCGTCTTGCTGCTCTAACCAAGCGGATCCCACGCTTGTCAACCTTGCACCTTAAGTAATGACCGAGTATCAAGACCAGGGCATCCTTCGCTCCTGACATCCGTGATATTGTCATAAGGAAAAGGAACAGTCCAGATCAAATCGAAGCTGGTCGGGCTTAGCAAGGATTCAGGCACGGAGTAGTCCGGCACGACTCACCGATCCTCTGGATATTCCGGGACATGATCAGAGCCCAGTTCCTCCACGATTTCTTTCATTTTCCCGTGTCGCCAGGAAATCAGGATATTTCCCGGTCCCTGAAAGTGCCTCACGAGTTTTGCTACGCATTTGACTTGATTCCGCTTGCACGAGAGATCAACTGCAAGACCTAAGTCGATAGCGAGCGGGAGGACGGTCTCGAATGAGCGTCTGTGTTGACCATCTAAGGCAGAGTAAGTGGTTAGATCAACATTATCTGGCTAAGCCGTAAGGTAACGCCAGTAGAGACTATGGCATACATCTGTTTGGCCTCGGGGCGACGATATAGCCGATGTCATATGTTGAGTTGACACCGAACACGTCTCGGAGGCACTGGGCTCGCCTGAAGCCCTCGGCATTCAAGCCAGAGTCCTCGGGGTCGCCGGATTTCTCGCCATGACGAATGATATAGACTGTTGGTTGGTCTGCCGCTGTTGAGGTGACCAGGAGGGATGCGAGTAGCAAGACGAGGAAACAAACAAACATGATACATTCTGCCCAATATCCTCTCCGGGAAAAGGTTCATTATCTATGAAGATGCGCTGATTAGATGGACATAAAAGTGTAACCAACTTCTTATGGGTGCTCCATCATAATCCCCCCTGAGAGCATGCTTGACCGTATGCAAGATGCGTGTCACTTCACTAGTGAAAGCAAGATCAAGTGGTGGGTTGCGTAACATTGCAAAGTCGCTCAAGTAGATCAAAATCAAGCTGCAGACGCATGAACTGTCCACTGCAATGTCTCATGCTAATGTTCTTCGGCTCATCACAAAGGGGCCTTTTTTTCGATTGGACCGAGCACCTTCTGTGAGAGGTAGACCAGGTGCCTTTTTCAGCCAAAGAAGTTTGTGTGACTCGATCTTTGTGTGACTCGGCCATTATGTGATTGTCCTCGGGTAAGAAGTAATGATCATGAAGTAGTCCAGCGTCTTTTCCCGCAAAGACAGGTTGCTTGCTGACACATGTTTACTTTTTCCGAGAGTGATCATCTGCATCTGATAGGCGTTGAGCATGACTTTTGCGACATTTTCATCCCGATATCACACGCTGCATGAACTGCGGAGCGAGCTGATTGTAGATCAGTGGAAGAAGAGTCTCTTGGTTAAGTAGACAGTGAGACTTTTACTGTTGAATGGTGGTCAGGCACAAGCTACGGGGTTAGTCGTGCCTTATCAAGAGGGACCAAGGACGTATACAACAGACTTGGTCCCAAGTAGAATGTCTTTCCTCGAGTCAGCTTGAACTTGGATACGGGCAACAGCAGTATCTAAGCATGTAGACATTAAGTACCGAGTAGATGGTTGCTTAGGTCCTGCAGCTGCGCTTTGGAATTCCCCTTGTAGCCTTCCCAGAGAATGAAACGTGACGAAGGTAAGAGCTTAGCCCATTGTCCGACGAGCCAGTCTCTATGTTCAATCCAAAACTTCTCTCGTTTTGATTCGCGCTTTTATTCTCTATATCCGCGGCGCCGAAGGACTTAGCTCTATGCCATAGGTAGGTGGTCAATGGAGGTGCGAATAATATGGCTGCCTGTTGAGTGGAATTAACGTGAGGTAAGGCAGTTGTATGATTGGAGGTGCTGCCACAGTAAGGTAAGGTATCCAAGATATCTTACAGAAGTCGGCAGTCTCGGA